TCTCCATTATTGGAGGATTGAAGAACAGGTTGGAGAAATACCTGTTAGCGATGGTCAAGGTTTACTGGGTTCTGCCTCAGCATGAGGGCACTGGATTTGATGACCTCTTGAGGTCCCTTCCAGCTCTGCATGTCTATGATTCTGTGACACGTAATGTTCTTCCCAGAGAATTCCATGAAGGACTGGACATCTACCTTCCATTGTCTTCAGGGGCACTCAGACTACAGCTGCCCTTAACAAAAATATGCAAGCAAGAGTGAGTCAGGCTAGATATATTCATACCTGCCTCTGGAAATTTCCACTACATGCATCCCACGAAGTGGGTATTCACCCACGAAAGCTCATGCTCCAATACGTCTGTTAGTCTATAAGGTGCCACAGGACTCTTTGCTGGTATAAAGTTGATACTGCGTATCTTCAAATTATTAGAAATATCACATGGTTACATCTCTTTGGGCTCCTTGTTTAGTATTCATGTATTTTTAAATATTAAAAACAAACAAACAAGGAAATTCCCAAATAAATGGCATTAAACTGGAATTCTTAGCCTGGCATGTTTGAAAGTGTTTCCTCCTTTAAATGGTTTACTTCAAAATCCTTTCATATATAATTTTGAAAAGCTCTCTCCATGACAGGAATTATGGAAAGATCCTTTCTTTTTGCTACAAGTCATGCTATATCTCATTTGAAATTGGAATGTTCAGCCAACTGGGTGATCTGATTGGCTGAATATCCATGGCTGCTTGCCACTCTAAATTAAATTATCCAGTTTAGTTTGCATTGTGTTTCAAACTACTCTGACTGCAGCTTGCAGAGCTGACACATATGAGAGGGCCAAAGGGCTTCACTAAATCTGGTTGGCTTTGAACTAGGCTGGGGCACTTCTTAAAGGAGAAACCAAATTTAACAGGCTGAAAAATATGCACAGCTAGTTGTGGTGAAACACAAGTAATTACAATTGCCCCTAAATTCCATTCTGCTGATATTAATGTCCCCTCAAATTGGGGCAGTGTGTGTTTCGTTTTTCCATACCCAAAGAGCAATCGTATACCAAAAAGAACTTTATTTTATCTTAAATCAGTAACAAAACAAGAACAAACAAATGGAAAATCTCCATCTGAGAGAGCACAGTGTTTGTGTCACCTCTATAGCAGCCTGGATCTGAACACATAATGGCAGCTGCTTCTGCTTCAGGGAGGAGATCTGTCTCAATTTACAAGTGGAATCATAGCAGCTACAAGTTACATTCATGATAGTGCTAAAAAGACTGTCTCCTAACTTTTTTTTTGTATTTTGTTTTCTCTCATACTTCAAAATATTAAACAGGAGGAGTTTCTGGCTTTTCCCAAATTGTAGGTGGGATTTGTACTTGCCTTATTCCATTATTTTCCTGATACAAAGTAAATCTCTGCACATGAACAATTCCACCAGCAAGTGCAAAACAACTTAACCAGGCAAAGTATTAATTAGTAGTCCACCCAACTCAGTCTCCAGCAGAAAACTATCTATGCATCAGAAATATAAATATAATAATTTGGACTCTGCCACCCTTTATCTCCCATGTTATGCAGCATGTCAGATTAGATGATGTTAGCGGCACCATCTGGTCTTAAAACCTTTGGGTCTGATTTTGTTGTTGTTCCACACCTTGTGGAGTAACACTGGTTGAATATTTTCTGATGGAACATTTTTATGCTATTGTATAATAGTCTCCATCATAAATTGTAGTAAAATATAAAAGTAGAAACTATGAAGCCAAAGTGCTTGAACATTTTTAGGCCAAAGCCTTTTGATAAGGTGTTACAATATTTCCACCAGGACATTTTTTTCATTTTGATTTGTGACTGAAGGAACTATTCAAATGTCAGAATTTTCCTCAGAATGGAAATTCCAAGTTTTGACCAGTTCTATCCTGGAGTCATTTACATCAGAGGAAAGTGAGTGCAAAATGGGTGTAAATGCCACCAGATGGGAATGGTAAAGTTTTATGCCCATTTTTTGTACTGGTGTAAATGACTAGGTGCAAAGTCACAGAGAATCTGGTCCATAGATATTAAGGCCAGAAGGTGCCACAGTGATCATCTAGTCTGACCTGAGTAACACAGGCCAGAAAGTGTAGCGGAGTACAGATTTGTTTTATTCAAACTTCTGATAGAAAACCAGGCCCTATGAATATATGACCCATTCAGGAACAACAGAGAACAAAATCTAATTTGGTTTAAACTGGGTTATGAAAATAGGTCACTTTATCTTTAGAAATCTTGAATGGAAAGTCATGGAGAAACATGACGTGAATGGAGGGACTTTTAATCTGTTCTGTTTCTTTTTAGGGAATTTTGGTTCCTGATTAAAAATCAGGACTTTGGATCTGTGTGCTTTCTTGCTTAGCTTCCCAAATTGATTGTTCCAAACAGACTTACTTTATAATCTACATGATTTAGCACTAGCTAATATTATGAGCCATTATATGTTGTTAACCACTGGTTATTTTAACAGGGAAGTGTCCCACTCAAACAGCTTAGGACAGTGGAAGACTCATCTGCTTCTTTGTCCCACTATTAAATTTAGCACCCCCTAAACTGAGCAGGAAATTAGAATTTCAGGCATTGCATGATGGGGAGGTACAGTCATCTTCACTAGAATGAAGTGACTGGGCTTTCAAATGACTGTTTTCCCCTGATGTACTATAAAAACCTGTTTGATAGTTCTGGCTACCATTTTCCCTGTAGACTACAGCTTTACTGTGAGGATGAATTTGGAGAAAAAATGGATGGATTCAGTAAAATTGCTCATATGAGTAAGGAAAGCATGATTTGTTCCTAAGTGAGCTCAAGTCTTAAAAAGTCATCATTATTATTATTATTTGCATTATAGCACTTAGATGCCTTAACTAAGGTTGGGGCCCTGTTGTGCTAGGCGCTGTACATACATATAATTCAAGCCTCAAAGAGCTTACAATTTACATGGATGAGACAGACAAAAGGTGGGAGGGGAAACAGAGGCACAGGGAGAGGAAGGGACTTGCCCAAGGTCAAACAGCAGGTCCGTGGCAGAGTCAAGAATAGAACCCGAGTCCTAATTCAGTCCCCTATTAGGGACAATATCAAGTCTGACATAATTTGGAGGAGTTTTTTGGTCACTCTTAGGCTGCTTATTTCTGGTTTATACAGCGAAATATGGACACGCAGATCTGTCACCGTAAAAATACCTTATTTTCCTTTCCCTCACTGTCCTTTCTGGATTTGTGACCTGATGACTTCTTGTAAATTGGCACCATGGTTCTGACAGATACCAATTATCTACTTGCAATTTTTAAATGCTAGTTAATATTGATCTAGTTATTGGGAATGCATTTCTATTGCAGAACTCAAAGAAACTATGCCTGCTACATTTCCCTACTAAAAAGCCTTACCTGAAATATCCTTATGTGAGAGAGAAGTAACTTTTGTCTCATCAGGTTGAAAACTGTCAGTGCTATTTAAAATAAAGGATTTTGACCCAAATGGCTAGAAGCATCCTGCTGTCGGACACCATCTGCTTGGAAAGCAACATCATTTGTGACTTCTGCAGTGTGGGAACGAAATGCCAAAGACTGGCAAAGCATTTTCCATTGTACTTTAATTCTAATAAAGCAAGATTCTTGCTTATTCACTTTGCTCAAATATTGCATGTACACCATTTTATTTTTGCTCTTAAGGTAGTATCACATTAGGATGGAAACTGGAATCTTTCTGTAGCCAGATCTGTTCAGGCTGAGATTTTGTCCGATTTCATGAAGTAAGGAGGGCTGGGCTTGATAAATAGATGTGGGCTTCTCAGGAAAGCTCAGTAAGTGTTCTGGGTGATTCATTCACAGAAAACAGTTTATCGTAGTCCTCTTTATAACAGCCTTTAACAGATATGAAGACTGTTACCAGTCTTCTTTTCTCAAAACTGGGTATGTTGGTCTTGAGAAAAGAAAACTAAGGCGGTGGTGGGGACGGGGGAGGAACCAGATAAGTCTTCAAATATGTTTAGGACTCTTATAAAGAGGATGTTGATCACTTGCTCTCAGTGTCCACTAAGGGTAGATAATGGTCTTCATCTGCAGCAAGGGAAAAGTAGGTTAGATATTAGGAAAAGCTAACTATAAGGATAGTTAAATACTGGAATAGACTTCCAAAGGAGGTTGTGGAATCCCCATCACTGGAAGTTTTTAAGAACAGGTTAGACAAACAGGGATGGTTTAGGTTTATTCGGTCCTGCCTCAGCAGAGGGGGCTGGATTAGATGACCTCTTGAGGTCCCTTCCAGCCCTACATGTCTACAATTCTATGATTCACTTCTCCGTGAATCATGGCTAGATCACCAATACACCAGCTTGATTTTGAGAGCATTAACCAGCAGGAGTTGGCATTCTTTAGATGTAAACCCAAGGTCCTTACTTCTGGCCATTAACATTCCAATGGCATTTTTCATGAGAGTGGTGGTATGTACTCAGGTAGAAATGATTTGTTCAGAGCTCCTATCTAAATACCCCTGTAGTTACATTGGATATGGTAGTTTCCACTTCCTGGTCTGGTTCTTTAGTCTGCAATCAATACAATCAATAACATTGTCTTTTGCTTCTTTCACGTTAATTTTTATTTTAAATATAGTGGTAAATTTCATACTGATGAAAGTGAGGAACTGATAGTAGTGTTTAACCTAGGCATAGTGTGGGCAGGTGCTAGGCAAAGTTCCTCCAAACAGCTCTGTCAATAAACATCAGTCCCGACCAACGGCACCCCTATCATTCTACAACAGGCTTCTTGTGAGAGGGAGGGCCAATTATGAAACACAGTGTGATGGTTTTGTGTTGTGAAAAAGTATCTGACTGGTTCTAGGATGAGACCACTAAACTTGTGGCTTAGATCACAAGCGATGATGAGTTAATCATCGTTGTTTTTAATTTAAGCTAGCATTCAAATTCTTTAACATACTGTACTCACCTCAGCCAATTTAACAATCATCTCTTCTCAGGAGAATGCAGTGAATGGAGAGCACCTGTGGCTGGAGACCAATGTCTCTGGGGACCTGTGTTACCTGGGGGAAGACAGTTGCCAAGTCAAATTTGCAGTGAGTATAAGAGTTTCAGACTTCCTTATCTGTTTGTAGGGCAATGAATCCAGTTTTGGTTGAAGAGACTACTTCAGAAGCTTGAGAACTTGCATTTCCTAGTGTGACTGGTGGTGCCTTGCTATAGCAGATAGATAGAAAGAAAGAATCAAAACTATTGGTCAAATTCTTTATTTAAACAAAATTTTAAAAACCTCTCAAAATTGTACTATTTCTACTAATAGTATGAAATCTGAGGTGTTTACTGAGTCCTAATTTGGGCAAGCTCCCAGTGATGTCAGTAGAAGTTTGCCTGAATGAGAACTGAGCTTAAGACCCTAGAGAATTTTGCCTGTTTCAAGCAGTATAGACCCTTAAAAGTATACTGTGCCTAATTCACTACTGTGTTATTACAGTTTGATGAGGGGACATCTCCACTGAAATCAGTGCTGTTACCCTGGAATAAAACTGCAGTAACCGTGGTGAATCAGGACCATTTTGGAAATGCTGGTGGCAGTGGCGGATTAGCCACTGGGCCAACGGGGCCCATGCCCAGGGGCCCTGGCCAATTGGGGGCCTCTGGAAAAATGGGTGACCCCATGCCCCAACCTGCTCCGCCCACCCACCTGGTGCTCCTGCTAGGGAGCTGGGTCGGAGCACGGGGGTTTGCCCCGCTCTGCCCAATGCTCCTGCTGGGAGCCCCCATGCCCTGACCCTTCTCCCCCTGGCAAGATTGCAAAGCGGGCGGAGCGGGGCAAGCCCCCCTACCCTGACCGCACTCCCTGGCATGAGCGCTGGGTGGATGGAGCAGGGCAAGCCCACCGACCCCGCTCCCCAGCAGGAGCACTGGGGGGAGAAGACGGGGACTGCAGGTGGAAGGGGTGGGGAGGAACCCCCACTTGCTCTGGCCTAGGGCTCCCCCCCTACAAACCCTAGTCCACCTCTGGCTGGTGGGAATCTTAGTTGATTGAAGGCTTTTCCAGCCAACAGGCCCACAGATGTGGAGTCATATGTGAGAACTGACAATTTTTAATTGCTTGGCCTTTTCTTGACTGAAATTCTTTTCTGTTTTAAGGGTTTGTTGGTTGCGGGGAATCTATTAGTGTAACACAAAGTAGCACTTGTGCTGCCTTCTGGTATGGGTATGTGAACTGTAGATGGGCAGAATCTAGTTAACTCTAATTATGTTTTTGCTTATCTTGATCAATTAAATGGCTAATGGTTTTCCAATTTGAATCTTTTTAGAGATGCTACATCTTTCTATAGCTGCACTGGCCTTTCTGTTACTTTGCTTTTTACATATAAAATATTTTTAGATCAGATATCTTTTTTTAATGGAAAAGTGGTATGAAATAATTAATCTATAATTGCATTTATGGAAAAATGCATAGAAATTTTAATAAACATAAGGCCTTAGCAGGATATGAACTCTCACCCTTTGGAGCTGACACTTTGATAAATAGTACATGGGATGGAAAAGACTCAGTCTGATTTATCCACCAGTCTTTCCTTACTAATGCTTGGAATCAGTTCTGCAAGCCCCAACATTCAAAAATCATGAGTCCAATGCCCAAAATCATGAGATTGGTTTACAAATCATGATGCTTTTTAAAAAAAATGTTTGGTTCTTTTTATTTTCCTTCTGGTCTTTAAGCTGTTAGGGTTTTCAAGCTTTTCTCTGCAATCATGAGGACTAAGAAACTTACTTTTTGTGAAAAGCTGAGATTCTTATGCTATATCATAATTCTATCAGCTGGCGTTTTAAGAAAAACACCAAAAATTGAGAGACTTACGAAGAAAAATCATGATTTGACAATACTGCAAATTTAATAGTGTTATGTTAGCTACAAGAGGGCTGTTGCTTCCAAAATCTAGCTAATAACATATTGAAAATTATAAAGAAAACATTAATTACAAGCTCTCAATGACTATGATAAAAATGACTGCAAGTTTCAAGCAAATCAGCCTTAATTTATTGTGTTGATCATGTTTCTGTCTTTCAATCATAAATGTTTCTGTAAAAATGTCTTTTGCGAGACTCATTAGAATGATTAAGTATGTGTAAGAACAAGAAAGAATTAAGTTTATGGTAAAGGCTTTCTGTGCTTAATGGACATCTAGTGTTCACTTTAATAGGAATTTGACCAGTAGTATTCTATGGAAATTGCTGTAAAAACTGATTAACAGAAGATGATTTCTTTTGTACAGAATTGTAAAGCCACCCTAAAGAACTTAATAGAGAATTTATGTTCCTGCTATAACATTTTATAGGTTGGTTAACAAAATTCTGCAGGACGATTATCATTCTCTAATAAATTACACAGGATTTTTCTGCAAGGCATTGGTCAGAGAGATGCCCCATCAAATTCGGTGCTTCATATGAACAGTAGAGGAGGAACTTTTTCCCCAGTTTGGCTTGAGTCATTACTGAAACTCTCAGTAAAGTGTGTGTTTCCTTGTCTCTTCACTAGCTATGCCCCTTTCCATTTCAGACTGTTCCTGATAAGGAAGTCGTATTCAAAATGTCATCAGTAACTTTATTTACTATTTTAAAAATCCCTTTAGTTCTTGTTTTCCATCCACATGCCCATGCCATATGTCCCATGTCCCACCTTATTACCCTGTTTATACCTTTATTCTTGACTATTCAGCTACAAGCCATTTTTCAACATAAAGCTCAATCAGGTTTTGAAGATAATCCAGAAGACCTGTTGGATAAGATGAGGGAAAGAGAAGCTGTCTGGCTTCTGATAAATGTTTTTGCTTCTGTAAATGATTTCCCCTCATTCCATACACTCTCACCCACATTGTTCTCAAATGCTGTAGAAATCGGCTCTCCGACGAAAGTGTGCTGCCTGCAAGATTGTGGTCCACAATGCATGCATGGAACAGTTAGAGAAGGTAAGAGGACACCACCTGCTGGAATATTGAATGTACAGTACACATTTTTAAATCCATAACTGAGTATTATCCTGAAAATCCCATGAGCTTAATTTCTGGTACTGTATGTCAAATACATTACAATGCTTTCATAATATCATAGATAGAGCTGGTTGGAATTTTTCAAATGGAATTTTTTTTATAGGAAAAAAAAGCCGTTTTTAAGACACAAAATGCAAAAATTGACTTTTACGATTATTTTTGTTTTTGTTAGATTTTTTGCAATGTTTTAATTAAAATATTACCAGTTTTAGCTGAAATTGTTACCTAAATAATTATCTAAATTGGCTTACAGTAAATGAAAAATTTCAATAATGTTTCAAAAATGCTTTTGATATGCATTTTTTTAATCAAAATTTTTGAAAAATTTCCAAAACAGGTCTATTTTGAACCATGTGAAACAGAAACAACTTTGAAAGTATGATTTTTTTTATACTGATTTTTTTTAAGCATATTGTTAACCTGCTCTAGTTATAGGGGAAGATGATGTAGACTAAAAATGAAAGATAGACAATGCCCTGCTTCCTATCCCATACATACTTGCCAGTCACAGAATTCCACAACTACAACAGCATCACTCAATTTATGGCAGTTGCCATTGTTAAAAGGAATCCGAGATCAACAACCTCCATAAATATTTTAATAGGGTTCCCTAGATTCTCACTGCTCCTAAACTTTAGGAATTTAGCACTTTGAGTTACAACTGGAAATATTTTGTAAATCTTTCCTTGCCTTGGTAAATAATTTATTTTGATATCTGTCCCGCTTACAATTGCCTTTAAAGAAACCTCCCCAAACCTTCAAAATCCAATAATATATTGATCATATAATGCAGTTCTCTATCAATGCTCCTTCATCTGGTAATACATATATTCCTGATTATAAATTAACAGTTACAGGATGAATTTTTCCCAATAGGATTCATGGGGGAAAATCCTGGTGCCACTGAAGTCAATGGGAATCTTGCCATTAACTTGAATGGGGTCAGAATTTTACCCCATGTGTCTGACACTGATTCTTGCACAGAAGTGGGTAATACGTCAAAGATTTGCAGTGGCAGCCCTTTAGAAAAGGCTTTTAGTTTTCCCTGATTTGGATGAGTTTTGCAAAACGTCATTAAATACAAATTTGTTGGGGTTCTTTTTTCAGTGAGTTTTAGTACATTCCAGTTAACACAGCAGAAGGTAAAATAAGACAAAATCGCATTGATCCATTATTCTTGACCGGTTTTACCAAAAGTGATGACAATTTCTTACATCTCTACTAGTTTATGGTGTCCCAAGTAATAAGAGAAAGTGCACACTCAGATGAAGGCCATTGAGTTGAATGTTAGTTTGTTTCTACTAGTCTAGAGAGTATGAAATTTGCCCCAATGCAGAGGCTATCCCAAGATCTGCACATCTCTTTAATCCCATTTTATGGGATGTTAGTGGTGCTTGTTCCTCTGTCCTGGGGTCAATTTTAACTAAAATAATTAGAATTTAGGTGACTTTTTCCATCTTGTCAAAGTTCAATGGTGAAACAAGGACGCAAGACTCCAGATGAACAGCATTGGAAGGGAATTAGTTAAATAAGTCAACTGGACTGAAGAACTCAAGGACTTAAATGTACAGGAAGCTTAAAATTTCTTCAAATTAGTTTTACAAAAACGATCTGAAATTTGCATCTGGAGAAAGGGGGGAAAAACCTTGTATGGATGGACTCCAAACCCAGCTGGATGAATAACCACCTCAAAAAGGTTGTTAGGCATAAGCAGAGAGCCTATATGGAATGGAAAAAGGGGCTGATCAGCAAAGAAAGCTACGTTGTGGAGGTTAGAAAATGCAGGAATAAAGTGAGAATTACTAAAAGTCAGGCTGACTTAGCTCTTGCCAAAAAAATTAAATAATAGGTAAAAAAGAGAGTAAGGAAGCATGAGGTTCGGGTGCTATTCAGAGGGATAGGAAGGAGATTAAAGACAATCTAGATATGGCCCAAAAACTAAATGAATACTTTCCCTCAGATTTCAGTAACAATGGTAATATGGAACATGCACATGAATACACTGTGAGTGATAGAAATGAGTATATAGAAATGGAAATTGCCACATCAGAGGTGGAAGAAAAACTTAAATCTCAAATTTTGGGGATCAGATAATTCCATCCCAGAATACTGAAAGAACCAGCACATGATTGCTAGTCCAGTAACAAGGATTAATACCTCTATCTATTTATGGATAGTACCATATGACTAGATAATAGCTGACATCATACCTATATTTAAGAAAGGGTAAAAATGTGATCCGAACAATTACAGACCTGTTAGTCTGACCTCAGTAGAATGCCAGGCTTTAGAGCAAATTGTGAAGAAAAGAATAATTTCAATTCATGGAGGTAAAGGGAAAGTAATGCAATGTGGGTTTACTAAAGGTAGATCATGCTGCAGTAACCTGATTTCCTTCTTTGAGAAAAGAACTGATTTTTTTTTATAAGGGAAGAGCAGTAGATCTAATGTTTTTGGACTTCAGTAAAGCGTTTGACATGGTAACACATGGGAAATTATTAGTCAAATTAGGGAAGATGGAGATCAGTACAAACATTGTAAAGTGACTAAGGAATTGGCTAAAGGGGAGAATTGCAAGGGATTGTGCTGAAAGGTGACTTATCAGACTGCAGAGAATTCTTCAAAGGTTAGTCTTGGGACTATTCTTTGTCAAAATTTGTATTAATGACCTTGGCACCAAAAGCAGGAGCGCGCTAATTAAATTTGCTGATGATATGAAGTTGGGAGGCATAGTCAACGCAGAGGAGGATTGGAATTTTACACAGGAAAATCTGGATGGCCTTGAAGACTGGAGTGACTGAAATGGGATGAAATTCAATAGTACACAGTGCAAGGTCATATAGTTAGGGTCTAATAATCAGAATTTCTGATACAAGCTGGTGGCTCATCAGTTTGGAAATGACTGAGGAGGAAAGAGACCTGGGTGTGTGGGTCAATCACAGGATGAGTATGAGCCACCAGTATGGTGCGGCTCTGAAAGGCAAATGCAATCCTAGGATGTATTAGGTGAGGCATTTCCAGTAGAGATAGAGAAGTATTAATGCCCTTGTACAAGGCATTCGTAAGACTTCATTTGGAATTCTATGTACAATTCCAGTCACCTGTATTCAAGAAAGATGGATTTAAACTGGAAGAGGTGGAGAGAAGAGCTAGTAGGGGGGATATAGGTTCTATCTTAGGAGAGCAGACTGGAAGATCTTGGTTTGTTTAGTCTTGTAAAAAGAAGGCTGAGAGGGGATATGATTGCTCTCTTTAAATATATTATGGGGGTAAATACCAAAGAGGGTGAAGAGCTATTTAAGCTAAAGGACAATGTTGGCAGAAGAACAAATGAGTATAAACTGGCCACGAACAAATTAAAGGTGGAAATTAGAAAAAGGTTTCCAACCATCAGAGGAAGAAGGATCTGGAACAGCCTCCCAATAGGAATTGTGGCGGCAAACAACGTAATTAGTTTAGAGAGAGATCTGGACAAATTTATGAGTGCCATTGTACAATGGGGTTGCTTGTGATATGGGAGGAGGGCTTAATAGCCCTGGGGCGCACTCTGGTTTTGTACCTAAAGCTCATACTTCAGGGTTTCAGACAAAGGTCAGGAAGGGATCCCTTCCTCCCCCATTGTATTCTGGGAGTTTTTTAATCTTCTTCCTCTGAAGCATCAGAGATGGCTACAGGTGGAGATGGGACATTGGATAGGGTGTTGAGTTGGTATCAAGCAGTCTCTCCTTCATGAGCATGGCTGGATGGTTCTTGCTTACATGTGCTGGGTCTAACTGATCATCATATATGGGGTCAGGAAGAAATTTCCCCCCAGATCAGGTTGGCAGTGACTTTGGGGGGCCTGGGAGTTTGCCTTCCTCTGCTGCGTGTGGGTGTGGGATACTTGTTAAGATTATCTGGGTATATCTCACTTAATCATTTCCCTGTCATTGTAGGGACCTTAAGCACTGGTGCACCTCGATCCCTCCTAATATTTGACTGGAACATAATAGTCTAGTCTCCTGTGGGTCTCATTTACTTTGGTCCCATTTCCATTGCTGGTTTTAGTGGGCAGGTGCTGGGTGGTGGTAGCAGCCTGCGATATACAGGAGGTCAGACTAGATGATCTAGTGGTCCCTTCTGGCTTTAAACTCTATGATGCTGTTTCCTGTTCCAACATAAGGACATAAGAATGGTCATACTGGGTCAGACCAATGATCCATCTAGCCCAGTATCCTGTCTTCCAACAATGGCCAATGCCAGGGAATGAATAGAACAGGCAGTCATTGAGTGATCCATTCCCTGTTGTCCACTCCCAGCTTCTGGCAATCAGACTAGGGCAGTGGTCTCCAACCTTTTTAAGCACAAGATCACTTTTTGAATTTAAGTGCAACCCAGGATCTATCTCAAAGAAAATGTAGAAATAACAGTAATCACACAAACCCAAACACCCTTGCTCCACCCCTTCCCCGAGGCTCTGCCCCTTCCCCACTCCTTCTCCGAGGCCCTGCCCCATTCACTTCCTCCCTCCCTCCCTCCCTCTGTTGCTCACTCTCTCCCACCCTCACTCACTTTCACCGGGCTGGGACAGGGGGTTGGGGTGTGGGAGGGGGTGCGGGCTCTGGGCTGGGGCTGAGGGGTTTGGAGTGTGGGAGGGGCTCAGGGCTGAGCCTGGGGCAGGGGAGTTGGGTGCAGGAGGGGGTTCAGGGTGCGGGTTCTGGGAGGAAGTTTGGGTGCAGGAGGGGGCTCAGGCCTGGGGAAGGAGGTTGGGGTGCAGGAGGGGATGCGGGGTGCTGGCTCTGGGAGGGGTCTCAGGGTTTGGGCAATGGGTTGGGGTGCAGGGTGCAGGCTCTGGAAAGGGGCTGGGGCAGGGGGTTGGGGTACAGGAGGAGGTACAGGGTGCAGGCTCTGGGACAGATTGGGGTATGGGAGGGAGCTCA